TCCCCTCTCTCTCTCTCTCTCTCTCTCTCTCCCTCTCTCCCTCTTCTCTCCCTCTCTCTCTCTCTCTCTCTCCCTCGCGCGCGCCCTCCTCTCTATCTTCTCTCTTTATATATCGCACTACTCTACGGAAGGTTCCTTACTACACCAATGCACAGAGATAGGGTGCGAACACGTCAGGAGATATTGCGCATGCGCGAGCACCGTTTCAGACTTGCAATTCGGACTGATAAAAGCAGGCTAATATAGCTTGTTGAGGGAGAGAGGGGTGGAAGTCTGAGGAAAAACCACAAGAGAGATATCTGAAGGTCGGTGAAATAAGACCTCTGTCAATGTCAGCTACATACCACTGATGGTATCCAGCGTACACAGAGTGATATAGTCAAAGATGTCGAAGGGCGTGTGACCGTCTGCTAGTGGCTCCAGCTGTTGGCAGAGCGTCGCAGCATGTTCGTTAACAATCGGTACGAACTCCTCCAGGATCTTGAAATGGAACGATGGCGTGAGTATCTTCCGATGCTGCCGCCATCTGTTACCCGTGCTGCGAATCAAACGCACTGCGTTAATGCGGCATTATAATATTTACATTTTACTTATTTATATTATTATATATATATATATATATATTATATAATTATATACATTTATTATTCTGCACTTGACGAGGCAGGCTCAGAAGTCTGTGCGTACTCGCTTCTATTCACCCTCCTCCATACCTTCTCCTTCTCTTCTTCCTCCTTCTCCTCCTTCTCCTCCTCCTCCTCCACATTCTCCTCCACCTGCTCCTTTTGCTCCTCCTCCTCCTACTCCTGCTCCTCCTCCTCCTCCTCATCCTGCTCCTCCTCCTGCTCCTCCTCCTCCTTCTCCTCCCTCTTCTCCTCCTCCTCCTCCTCCTCCCCTACTCCTCCTCCACCCCTCCTTCTCCGTCTTCTTCTTCTCCTCTTCCTCCTTCCCATCATCTCTCCTTGCCCTCCCCCGCCTCTACCTTCTATTTCTCCCCCTCCTCCCCCCGCCACCACCTCCTCTTCCCCCTTCTCCCCATCTCCTTCATATGCTACACCCTCGTTGCCTTCTGTCGTTCTAAACTGCACTAGTGCTGCTACCTGGTGACGAGGCCTGTACCAAGCCAAGGTCGTAAGAGGTCATATTCCCATGTCTTGTCCATGTGTTTTGAGCTGTGCAGTATTACCTGATGACATAAGACAAAGATATTATGCAATCAGCAGCTGAGAGCAGCGCAAGGACCAAGGGGTTGGCAGGAGGTTATGTTTTCACCGGCGTGTGTTTGTTCGTTTGTGCGTGTACAGCCTAACTGAAAAAGTTATGGACGGATTGTCATAAAATTTTCAGGATAGGTCAGAAATCGCCTAAATTAAAATTGATGAGATTTTGGTAGTGATCCGGATTCAATTAATTAATTAATTATTTAATTAATTAAATTTTCAGGATAGGTTAGAAATGGGGTAACTTAGAATTGATTACATTTTAGTGGTGATTCGGATCCAATTAATTATTTAATTAATTAATTAATTAATAACAATTTTTACAGTGAGAGAATTGAGCTGCCTTGGCGGAGGTCGGTGCTCTCCGAGTGCTCTAGTTATTATTATTTTATTGTTAGATATATTATATTATACATATATATGCATATATATATATATACATATATACATATATACTTATATAACAGAACAACAAATGAACACCAATGAAATAACACTGAAAACAAAAATTATAGCATATACTGTAATCAGTTACGTGCTTATAACGAACGTGTGTGTGTGTGTGTGTGTGTGTGTGTGTGTGTGTGTGTGTCAGCTCTAACCTCGGCGAACTCTGGACTGAACAGCATGACTAGGGGATAGCTGCTGAGCCAGAAGCGAATGATACCGTGCTCTCGCTGCTCTTCCAACAGTTGATGCTGCAGCTCCAACATATCTGCAACATTACACAACATGTCTGCAACATGACACAACTTATCTGCAACACAACATATCTGCAACACGATACAACATGTCTACAACATTACACAACATATCTACAACATTACACGACATGTCTGCAACATTGCACAACATGTCTACAACATTACATAACATGTCTACAACATTACACAACATATCTACAAACAACATTACACGACATGTCTGCAACATTGCACAACATGTCTACAACATTACATAACATGTCTACAACATTACACAACATATCTACAACACGACAAGCAACATATCTGCAACATTACACAACATGTCTACAGCACGACAAGCAACATATCTGCAACATTACACAACATGTCTACAACACGACAAACAACATATCTGCAACATTACACAGCATATCTGCAACACGACAAGCAACATATCTGCAACACGACACACATCTAGATCAGCATTAATGTTGCCCTACCCTACCTGCCCTTTTCTTACTAACCATCATTGCCCAATAAGCTTTGCTCTGCAGCGCATGCAACTCGTTCCAAGAAGCATCACAAATATTGATAAGGATTCTGGAACGCACGTTATTGCGCGAGAAAAACTGCTGACGTTTTAAAATTACGATAGTTCACAACTATTTACCATCGTTTCTGACTACAGCGTGCCACTCCCAGGGTACACATAATCATGTTCCCTTCATCCTTTAAATTGACTACGTCATGAATTTTCTATGGTAAAATTTGTAAAATTTGTGTTGCCATTTTTTACATTAAAAGTAAGAACTAACGGGACTACACGTATCGTCAAATTTTTGCCTGATAAGATTGTTTCTCAGCTAGTTAAAAATCCAAAAAACCTGGACGATTTGATATTATGTTCCTGACTTGCCCTCGCCCTTGCTATGGGCTATGTATGAGTCACGAGTGTATGTTCACATCAAACAATATAGTAAAATAGGAAGTATAATGCAGCAATTTAACCATAAAAGGTGAACAGAATCACTTAAATTCCCAAAACCCTAATCAGCAGTTCCCTTGTTCTCTGAAAATAATTCGACAATATCCCCAATTTCCTGAAAGTTCATGATCCTGTTCCGTTATTCCCTAAAGATATACTTCGTCGCACACTGTCGGTCCGGGTACGCATGCACTCTATGTGGCCCGAATGATTTTTCACCGAAGCACACATTCGCGTACAGAAATAAATCCACTATTCGTCAACACTACATCTGCTATAATAGCGCAAAGTTTTTCATCCGCATGCGCACCATAAACGGCATACTACACCCTCGAATTTTAAGATATATTATAATAGTAAGTGAATAAATAGTAGTATCTACCTTCAAATTTCTATAAGCATGAATTCACATTTGTCAGAAAACAACAGTGAGTTTCGATATCTTTATTTTTGGCCGATGACATGACATCCCGCGACTGTGTTACAAAATCCTCGATATATACAATTGAATGCCTGACGAACAAACCTATATTGATTTATATCTATTTGATCTGCTAATCGCTATCCATCACTTTTAATCCACCATATAATGCTGCCTACTTTATTATTTTATTTTTCATGATGTTTAAATGATAGACAAGCTCACACACACACACACACACACACACACACACACACACACACACACACACACACACACACACACACACACACACAAACACACACACACACACGCCCGTAGGCGCACATATACACATACCCCCTCCACACACACACACACACACACACACACACACACACATACACCCCCCACACACACATATACTCCCCCACACACATACACCCCCCTCCCCCCACACACACATACTGTTGTACTGCATTTCTAAATCCACGTTCATTCCTGTATAAGTTGTATACAGTGTATAAGCTGTAACGTATATATAATTATGATGAAGTAGAAATCCAAACTTGTTTCTTGAACTGCATATATATATATATAAGCTTTAACATCTGCTCCCGTCACATCTCTCCTTGCACACAAGGACAAAGCAACGCGCACACGCGACCACAACCAGCCTAGCTCCTCGATCCACTCCTACAACTCTGTCCTATAATATAATATAAGGAGTAGATAATAGAAGTAGAGTAGATAATAGAAGTGGAGTAAATNCACACACATACACACACACACACACACACACACACAGACCCTCAATGATAATTACCGCACTTTTGCATGTACAATGGCGTTTACTCTCGTGAGTCGAGTCGGCCATATAACGCGATTATAAATAAAGAATACACATGAATAATGAAAGCGTGATCATCAATAATTGACCGCAAATGAAATCAGCTCGGGTCATGTGCTACTAGCAGAATAATAGCTGCCAGATCTATTAGGGCATTCGCGGTAAGTGATATACAACAAGCGGTTGCGTGCGTCTAATCAGCAACGCATTTGCGTGCGCGTCAAACGCTGCAAGGCGCGCGCGCTACACGTGCGCTACTGAATAGCTTCCTCCACTACACCGCTACTCGCGCGCGCGCGCGTGCGTGCGTGCGTGCGTGCGTGCGTGCGTGTGTGTGTGTGTGTGTGTGTGTGTGTGT